TTCTTTATCTCGTCTTTTTCCTATATTTTGAATACACTGGTTGGTTTTGTGTCGTAAATTGTGAATACAATCTCCAGAATTCAACCAAACATTTGTGAGATGCAACTGCCGCTCTAAGTGTGTTACACAAGCGCCAAAAAACTAATACATGGGAGGAGGATGAGGCAAATCTAACGGACGGCCCGGCCTAGGACAGAAAAGAAAAAACAACGTTCCTATGCAAGGCCTGACCTTGGTTCGAACAAGAAACCTCCTTACATCCCATGTGGAGAATAGCAGTAGAGGGTGTGTTACCGTTACACCACCAGGCCGTTGATCATGATAGCTCGCTCGCTGAAAGCCACTGAGGTGGCGTCAGTGTGAATTCATTCAACTTGTCTCGTCTTAAATCTTGATGCCAGTGCCAAGTGACACAAGCACTGCTGCAGAGCGTGCTTGGTACAGAGCAGTCAGACATCCATAAATGATAACGCCGCAGCGGGCTTAGACGACGGGATTCCGACGGCGATAGTGCACGTCGAAGGGCGTAAAACCGCAGGCGCAGTGTTAGTCTCTTCAACGTAGGAAGCGGGACGCCGTACCGGAGCGAACCGGGGCACCGCCATACACTTTCTCCGAATTCTCGCCTGGACCATCTTTTCTCCATGTACTTTTAGTCGTCTTTCCTGTCCAATCGGTACTATTGTCCATATTCATACTGTACATCTCTGTTCTCTACTATACAACCCTATATTTGTACACAAATCTGCATCGAATCGCATGTAATAAGTATCGATCGCATTGGCCATTGAGGAATTTTAGGATGCATGCCAATACCAATATCCAGCAGAAGAGGTATCATATCGATCTAGCCAGTCGCGCGTGTTGTAGGATATGATCATGAGTGGAGGTGTTGATGTATCCGTATCCGTATCCAAATCCAAATCCGAATGTGAGAGCGCATATACATATCGGAGGCGCATGTGTCGGTGTCGTGTCGGAGCGCATGCATGTATATCGAAGCCGAAGACGAAGACGCGTATGGCGCCGGAGCCCATAAATACCGTTCGCCCGTCGGTTCGTTGCGGTGTAACCGACGGACGAACGATCCGAGGAGCCCTCACGACCCCGCCGCGCGCGCCGCCTCCACGCGGCCCCGCCCCCGTCCTCGTCCGCGCTGTTCCTCCGCGGGCGCGATGACCGCGACGATCACTGAGATGTCTGTAAAAGTGGTTAGCGTCTGGTGTTCGTGACCAACTGCACCAAAGGCTGAAGGGGAAATAGTGAAAGTGAAAATGAAAGGCGGAAAGTAAAGGGAAAGTGAAAAGGCCACAAGAGACACGAAACACAAAAACTCACCATCATTCTTCCCCCCACGATACACCCTCCCCGTCTCGCGCGCGCGCCGCGCAAAAGGCGTCTCGTCCTCATCTTCAGCTTCGTCTGCCCTCAACGGGAGCGAGCCCGACGCCATCGCCGACGCCGCTGTTCCCTCCGCTACGGCCGAGGTGCTGGGTAGCGAGGAGGAACTCGGTCCCGCCACCGAAGACGAAACCGAACTCGAAGCCGAACTCGAAGCCGACGAAGATGTAGGCGAGGCACACGACCTCCCTTTCTCCCTCCCGCCCTGCGCGTCGCCACCCTCCTTGCACGCGAACACAGCGCCTCGCTGAGCATCCCCGCGAGCGTCCGGCGGCGCAGGCGCGCGCCGTCCACGGCCTCCGTTGCTGTCTTGCTCGTGCTCGTGCTCGTGCTCGTACTCGTGCTCCCCTCCTCCAACTCGCTGATCTCAAACACCCCCTCGTCCCGCTCATTCCCCTCCCACACCCCACCCGTGCCCGTACCCGTACCGCCCACCCAGTAAGACCGGAGTCATCAAAAGCAGAAGCAGACGCAGAAGCAGAAGCAGCAGCAGCCCACGCCCGCCCCACCCTCCCCACCTCCTCCAACACATCCTCATCCCACAAATTATCGCTCAGCCCGTCGCTCGCGAGGATCACAATGTCGCCCGCCTGCACGGGGAGCGTGAAGAGGTGCGCAGCGGAGCTGGGGGTGATTTCCGCGTGCGTGCTTGTGCTTGTGGTGGTGTTTGCACTCGATGCACTTGCTGCCGTTCGTGCGCTGGTGCTCGCTGCCGAGGCGTTCGAAGACGTCGAGCCCCACCACCCCGCCCTCCCCGCCGACACCATGGCCCCCACCCTCGTCGAGGTCGACCCACCAGTTGGCGTCGCGGCGCCCGAGTCACGCGCCCCAACAGCACTCAATTGCACCGGCGTATTCCACCGCCACCACATCTCCTCGCTCCGCCACGCGACCGCCCCCCGCGCACGAGCATCCCCATGCAGTCCCCCACGTGCGCGATCTTGAGGACGGGGGTGAGCTCTTGCTCGCGTCCGGAGTCGGTTTTCGTTGTCGTATGTTTCGTCTTCGTCTGCGGATTCGTATTCGCTCCACCGCTCGCGCTAGAGGTGTGCGTCGCATTCCCACTAACCCCAGCACCCTGAGCCGCGTTTGATGCACCGGATGCACCATCGAGCGCGAACCCGACCACCTCCCCCGCCGGCACGTAATCCAACACCGCAACAAGCGCGGTACTACTCCCCGCGAGGAGGGGGATCGTCTTCTCCTTCTCTCTTTCCGTCTGTGCCTGCGCCTTCGTCTTCGTTGGCGTAGGCAGTGCAAAGGGCCACATCCCCGGCGCCGGTGGGGGTGTCGGGTGCTTCGTCGCTGTCCCGGTTGTGGGTATCGGCGCAGCCCCCTCCGTCCGCTCCCCTTGTGAAGTTTGCGCACTCGATGACGGCACAGGCACCACATGCGCCCCCAACGTCCGCTCATACGCCCGCTCCAATATCATCAACACGTCCAGCCCCTCCGCGAGCTCGTCCAGCTCCGCGGCGAGGAGGTCCGCGGGCGCGGGGGCGAGTAGTCGAAGTCGTATTCTTGGTCGTATTCCGCGAAGGGGGAGGAGAAGGAGGAGGAGGGCTCGCTCCACGGAGAAAAGTCGGCGTACGACGACGAGGAAGAAGAGGGAGGGGGAGGGGCGTGGAACGTCGCACGCGAGGACCCCGCGTACGACGCCGACGCGGACCCCGCACCCGCGTACGAGGCGTAGGGCGAGTCCGTCTGCCACGGCTCGTACGCGGCTGTCGAAGACGACGAAGAGGGGAAAGCGAAGGCGGACGTTGAAGGTTGGGAGGCCATGTAAGATGACGGCGGGGACGACGCAGGGTACGGCGCGAATCGCGATGGCGGGCGCCACGGCGTTACCACCGGCTGCTGTTGCTGCTGCTGTCGCGAGGTCGATGCGACTGGCGCAGATAAGTGAAGGTGGGACGCCCGATCAACCTCATCCGCGCAAAAGTGCATGAGGCGGCGTGCGAAGAGAGCGGAGGCGCTTGGGCCTGTGGGGGCGCTGTGAAAGAAAATGGGTCAGCGGTGTTTTTGAGGTGGGGAAGAGAATTGGGAGGGAAGATGGGAGAATAGAATACGGGTTTGCAGAAATCCAGAGGCTCCCTCTTTCTCTACAGTACCCCCACACCAAAATCACATGCTGCCGTGAAATGGGAAGGGGGTAAGAATGTCAAGCAAACGCAGAGGCATATACGCCTGCGCCACCCAGTGCACCCAGAACCGCCGCGAGTGCGGGTCGGATCGGAGGTGGAGGTGGCCCTCCGTAGGACGATGCAACGCATGAATATGCAAGATCCGCGAGGAGGTGCATTTTTTTGGGAGTAAAGACCAAGGAAAGAAAGAGAAAGAAATCAAGGCAGACATGTAAGTGGGCGGGGGGTCCGCGAGAACGAGCTCGATGACTGCCTACCGACCTAGCAACACAATGCTAGATGGCACTGAGATGCGCAAAAATTACGGGTCAGCATCCCTGCCCCCCGTTCCCCCCAAAAAACAGAAAGAAAGAAAGCAGAAAATAGTAAGAGCACCCACCTGGATGCTTCACCCGTGCCCATCCACCAACACCATCCGCCACTCCCATGGCGTTCTCGCGAATAAAATAGGCGTCCTCGCCGACCTGCACCGCCAGCGGTGCGTCCGTCGCCTCCGCATGAGTATGCAGCGCCCGCACCCTATGCCCGCGCTTCGGAATCCCATACGCGCCAACGTCGAGCGTGTACCGCGGGCCGCGGCGGCGCTGTGCGCGGGCACTGCTGGTCGACGGTGCTACCCCGTGTTTCGGCGCGGGGCCGGGTGTGTAGGGGAAGAGGAGGGCGAGCTGTGCGGGGTGGGGGTGCTGGTTCGCTGGGGGGTGGGGTGCGGCGAGTGCGAGCGGGGCATGGGGATTGGCGTTGCCGTTAGCGTTGTTGGGGCCTTCGACTTCACCGCGGGCCTCGATGGGCAGACGGTGAGTTGTAAGACGGGTATTTGGGGGTGGTGGCGGGGGAGTATCGAAGAACGAGCCAAGAGGGAGGGTTGTTGGGTTTGTGTAGAGTGCGCGAGAAGCAGAGTTTGATCTGACACGGCCGACGCGGGGCAGCGCTGTGTAGAATCGAGCGTGCTTCATCGACACGGTCAAAGCGAGAAATAGAAAGCAAGAAAGATGCTTCCGGTTTATTCCGTCAATAAATCGAGGATGTGACTCGTGTGTGACAATGACGTCCATCCCCGTTTGTTCCCGCGGCCTTAAGGCGGCGTTTATCGCGCTTATCGATCCCCTTCTCATCCCCGCCGTCCTACCCCGTCGCTGTTGTTTGTCAGGTCGGCCGAAGCGGCCACTGTGGAACTCAAGAGTCGAAGCCGCATGAGCGAACTTTGAGTTGAGCATGTAGTTTAATGTTGGACTATTCTTGACAGCCTCGTGGTACGCCACCGAGGCGGCGCTGTGGTAATACTGTCGTCAGTACCTCAATTTCCGTGCATTCGGTCCACTCCTACCGATTCTTCCTTGACTTATTCCTGGCCATCTTGGCGACAGCCGCCGCTGAATTACTGCACCCAGGCGTTGAAAGAAAACGCTGCACTCGCATTCCAGAACACTCCACACTTGACTCAACCAAACTACTGTCGACGGCCTGGTGGTGTAGCGGTAACACATCCTCTGATCGTCCCAGTATTCTCTTTGTTCCGAGGAATCCCCTTGTTCGAATCAAGGTCAGGCCATTTTTATACAGATTTTTCTTTCTCTGTTTTTGTTTTGACCAACTCAAGTTGTTCTCGACTATTCAGAATCTAAATCCCCGCGTTCGCGCGTCTTAATTGCTATTTTCCGTGCACTAAGTAGTATAGCCTTTGTGATTTTCGTTCAAACTATAGATGACTAAAGGTCTGCTGTTTACCAGTCAACTCAATTACTCCAGCATGGCCTCATGGTGTAACGGTAACACATCTTCAGTTGATAGCTGATTTATCGGTTTGTATTTGAGGAAGTCCCTTGTTCGAATCAAGGTGAGGCCATTCAGGAGGAGTCTGTTTAAAGTTTTTGTTTCTTTTTTGTTACGCCGAGTTTTTCTTCGGAATTTGGATCTGAATCCCTGCATTCCATTGATATTTTCTTTGCAATCTACTTTTTGTTTGGATTCACGCATATACTCTCGATAGCAAAATGACAACATTACCACTATGATGATCTGGGATCCATCATGGCCTCATGGTGTAGTGGTAACATGTCCTCTACTAGTGCCAAAAAAATACTCTTTGGAGGAGGAAGTCCCTGAAGTCCCTGGTTTGAATCAAGGTGAGGCCATTTTCATGGCAGTTGAACTTTTTTTCCGGTTATGTCGAGTTCTTCAGAATATAAATCTCGCGGCGTGCGCATTGATATTTTCCTCGTAATTTACCTGTACTCGGGCCACAGACATAGTAGTCTTTGTAATTTTGGTTCAAACCATGGATGATGAAATGAAGGTTGTCTCTGATTGTCAGCTGCTCCATCATGGTCTCATGGTGTAGTGGTAACACGTCGTCCGTTAATTATTGACCAATCATCACGTCTTCCCGAGGAAGTCTCTTGTTCGAATCAAGGTGAGGTCATATGTCTTTTCAATATGTTTTTTTTGGGGGGGTTAGGCTGAGTTATTCTCCACGCTTCGGAATCTAAATCCTGCATTCACGTTGTCATTGGATTTTTTTTATGGCATTATTCTTCGCAAAACAATCCTACTCTGTGGTCGGCACTTTTGGTGCAGAACAAAGTCGTAAGTCGCAAGTTCGGATCACCGTTTGATCTCGGGCCGTGACCTGCCGATCACCAAAAAGGGAAATGCCGCCCCTATCTGAACCTTCATGCAGACAAAAAAATGTTGTTCCCTACATCATATGGTCCCTTTGGTACCACGGAACTGTTTTTTAAACTATTTTGGAGCTGATATTTTCCGTCATATGGTCAGCGTTTGATAGTGAAATTTCAGTGGCTTGAAATGGTCGGTTTTTCTGAATCAACACCCTGAAAGAAATGAGACAACTCACTCAATAATTGTATTCACTCTTTTACAACATTGAAATTAAACCAAGGATCGCCGGGATTGGGAACAAGGACAGAGAGGATTAGTGTGCTCTTAGGAGTTGATGCATATGATTGGCCTTCGGGACTAAAACCATTGAAGAACGCGCAGCGCAAGAACATTAAAAATGGAAAAACCACCATGCAACTGATGCTTGCTAACCACTAGTACTCTAGAAGACTGCATAACTGATCCCTAGTGCTCTATGTTTGGCGTCAAAGAAGGAAAATCTCATAAAATAATTATGCCACCAGGTGTATTCGAAAATCTGCATGCATGTCGGGAAAGTATCTTTCGTACCACCATCCAATTACCTCACAGTACCTCAGTACAAACAGAATTAAGAAAGCGTGGGAATAGTACTCGCTCAGGCCGAGATCAATCTGACTTCGGACTTTGGACTTTGGATTTGGACTTTCGACTTCTAACTTAGGACTTGATGAAAAATACAGACCAACCGATAGAGTTTACCGAAATCCGTTGAGACTGTGAATTCTTTGTGAAAATTAGTCTCATAATTTTACCTTGCAATTTATACTGGACTCGGATGCAGCTCTAGAGTAGTCTTTGTGATTTTCATTCAAACTGTAGAGGATGAAATGTCAGCTGCTTGCCAGTGAAGTGCATCACGGCCTCGTGGTGTATTGGTAACATGTCTTCCAATATTTCCGAAGTAATACTCTTCAGAGGAAGTCCCTTGTTCGAATCAAGGCGAGGCCATTGAGATTAAGGTGCAGTTTTTTGTTTTTTGTTTCTTTTTTGTTACGCTGAGTTCTTAAAGTCTGAATATGTTCGCGTGTATTCTCATTTCTTGCAATCTACACTGGATACAGCCTTGATTATTTCATTCAGATTCACGTCTATTACACTCGATGACAAGATGTAACTACTTGCCACTTAAGTTCATCACGGCCTCGTGGTGTAGTGGTAACATGTTCTCTACTAATATTTCGGAGAAATATTGCGCTGAGGAAGTCCCTTGTTCGAATCAGAGGTCATGCCCCATTCGTTAGGTTTTTTTTTAAAAAGATTGCGGACTATCCTTCTTACTCACAGCGGGCCGGGGTTGAGTTTTAACGACGGCCTCGTCGTGCGGTAACAGGTCCTCTGATACTAATCACGGTACAGCCAACTTCTTGATCAGGGAGGCCCTGGTTCAAATTAGGTGGGGCCCAACATTGTGTCTGTTTCTTTTCTCTCGCTTCTCGGCCACCCACATATATCATACGTGGTAGGAGTGGCTCGGAATTTGGAAAAGGCACGGTACGGCCATGATAAAAATATGTTAATAACTTGCTAGTGTACGTATCCCGGCCCAAGGTCATATAAACATGAGAACAACATTCTCTAAATACCTGACTCCGAGGTACACCCAGACAGAAAAAGAAAAAAATTTGCAACTTTGGTGACTCGGATGCTGGGAATCGAACCCAGGTATCAGCCCGCTTTAACCACATGCGTCAAATACACATTTTATTGCAAGCGGGCGTGCACCATGCACCGGGTCCGAGTTGTCCTCACAGCTACATAAATTGGGATGTCGTACTTCCTTGTTTGAATCGGGCAGGTCGGTCAAACATTCGTTATTTTTATTTTCCGTAGGGCGGGCCTCTCAATGATCGCTAGGATGCTGAATACATCAAAATGTACCAACTTCAACCCAGGCCGTCCCCGAATCTCCGCGCACTCAGACTGAAATTGAAGATTGTCATTGTGCTAATAAGTACTGGCCTGTAGTAATCTTTAATGAGCGCTGTACCCTGAGGGCTCGCCGAAGAATTGAACCAAGGTCACGTGTCTCATGTTGAAAAATAATAATAATCAAACTTGAAGCGCAAACCATTACCTGAGCACTTCAACGTGAGTATTGTCTGATCTAGGGAGCACGCTATCTGATAGATATAAGTGGTAGCACCAATACTCCTGTGTTCCCGGTACGACTCGTTCAGGGTATTAAGTTATTGTAAGAGTGATAAACACATTGTTTTCTGGTGGTGAGTCAGCGGCGGCAGAGGAATAGACGCCTACTAAACCTGCACGCTCATCGACAACATGTATGCTGCGCGGCACGACGTTCGTCAATGCGAGAATGCTTATATATGTGGGGCAACTTTTGGGGGGATCAGAATTGGTACTCAAGAGGACGGTAATGGAGATACAAGGAGAAAGCCATTTACTCAGCTTCGACTCACGAACAGCCTGTTGAAGTCGAACATTATCTGCGCTTAGAATCCTGAAAAATGGTGGATGGAAGCACAGGAGAAGATTTCAAAAACTCCAAGTAAATGAGAATCTTTGAACAAGAGAATTGAAGTTCGAAGCCGCAATTGTTTGGAGCCCAAATTTACAGAACAGCTAAACGTGTGCTAACCAAGTTTTCCGTGCAATCGAGGCTGGAAGGGTTTATTATTTCGGAACCAAGGTGTCTGTGTGAACCTCTCTCCATGACCCGACTTTCCATGCTCTCTGAATTGCTTCGGTCCTTCAACACGCCGATGCTAGCTGTACGGATACATGTGAAATAACATTCCAAGATGTTGACCCGGTCTAAAACATTACTTCGGTACTTCAAACCTAGAGGTATTGCTCGCGGGAAATATGCTGCCGAGAATTTTAATTGATTTGGGAATCAAACATAAGACACACGTGAACGAATATGCGAAGGATGGATACATGACAGGGAAAAAGACAATTAACTCGGTGGGATCTTGGGTCTCATTATTTAGAGACACCCAGAGCCTGGAGATCAAGGTCACTCACAAATAGACAAAATGATCGATTGCTTACCACCAATGCCTGCCTCGCGGCCTCTTCCTTGGCATCGGCCTTCGAATGAGCAACACCGGTGCCTTTTTAACAGCAGATTAGTATATGGTGAAAGTTACAAATGCTGTGGCACCTTTGACCTCGCCGGACACTTGAAGGGACGATGAACAAGACAGTAAACCGCACCAAGTTTCCTCGTACCTTTGCATTGCACCGTCCACATCATTTCATGGGCAGGGCCAACGGCGGACTCAACCCAACTCAGGAATGGTTTGCTCGCTTGAACTGGAAGTCTGAGGGGTGAGGTTGGGGCGTTGGAGTACAGTTGTTGACATAATTTCTCCCAGGATGATAATCCCGGCTCGTCCCTGTTGAACTGATAAGAGCTTCGTTGGTCATGTTGTTTGGCGGCAAGGCGGGCGGGTGTTCCCTGATGAAGGAATGTTCATCCTCAGAATCATTGGCACTACTCGTTTGGATGAAAATTCCGTCTGAATGTGCCATTTGTTGAGAATAAGGCTCCGCCTCTGCCGCCACCGTCACATCGCTCGTTTCATTAAGTAGCATATCAGGACTGCGCTGGGCAGCTGGTATGTTCAAGGGAATTGTCTGGAAGAAAATAAACACCTGAAAATATGAAATGCTAGTCAGGGACTCACGGATGTTCCTTCGGGCACAATATCACGCGATTCAAGTGAACCGTTAAGAGCGTCCCTTGTTGTGCCGTTGGACAAAACGGCGGAAGATGTGATTTGATTCATGGATGGATGTTCATTCTCAGAATCATTGGCGCTACTTGTTTGGATGGAAGTTCTGTCTGAACCTGCCTGGCTCTCAGAATCCTCTCCACCGGCCTCGTCTTCATCGCACTCGACCGATGAGCCCGGCGCAGGCTCGGAGATAGAATTACCACGGGTTGAGATATCCTCTGTTGGCGTCTCCGAAGAAGCCACAAATTCGTGGGAAGTATTGCGCGACAATAGCGCCCGCAACCACCCTAGAATCCTCTTGGGCCTTTTTGTCGAGGATGTAGGCACGTTTTTCTTGTGGCCATTTCCGAGTTTATATAAACCCGAAGACCATCTGCGAAGACTACTGCCAAGTGTCGCCGACCGAAGAGGTGTAGCAGCCTCGGTGTACACAACTCGCGGGGCCACAGAACCCACGTCCTGAACGGAATCGTTCACCAAGTCGCCGATGCTCCGAATGCTGATATCTATAGACAGAAAAATTAGCAAGGTGTGGGACGATGTTGGACACTCACGATCGGTGTGCATTTCCGAGATCTCATTCGCGTCTCTACACGGGATTGTTAACATCCAAACCGTTGTTTCCAAATCAGACGTACGCTCTGGTCAAAATGTCTAATGTCACGGGTGTAGTGTCGGGAATAATATTCTTCATGTCGGGACCAGTCGCAAGCGCGGCAGACGCCGGTAGAAGCCGTTCAGCCCGTGGCCTAGAAGAAATTAAGTTGCGAATTTAGGACAAGATACAGAAAGAAAGACATGCCGACGCAGTAACCGCACGATCTCAGAGAGGTTGCGATACCAGTACTGTGATTTAGGGTCCTCCGTATGCAAGTCCAAGACACCAATCAATATCGCGCTGGCCATGGAGTCGATTCCCTCCTGGTCAAAAATTATACCATTCTTGTCTTCGTCCGAGTCTTCGTCCGAGTCCACCCCGAGGTCATTCAGAACGCATATGATATGGTCCAAAATTTTGGTGAATACGGCGATGTGTATTGCGCCACTTTCTTGCCAGAAGGCGGGTAGTTCCAGGACCCCGGCCAGATATCGCCGGGCAAGAGCATCGGAGATGGAAGTCGCACTTTGTATAAAATCAGAATCAATAACACGGTTATGGAAGATGATAACATACCTGGATTCCGACGCAACCAACAGGCGCTCGATGACGCTGAGATCGCCGCTCTTCGTGTCGATAGAGCCCAAACATCGGGGCGAAATATTCCCCAGAATTGGGGAAATGTGCTGCTCAGAGAGACAGACTGCAGCAAGTTGGCAGTAATAATCCCATTCGTAAGGCTGCGCAGTGTCATCCGCGCGGGCCCAAACCGCAGAGATCAATGCCTCCATATTTCTAGCGCGACTGAGGTATTTGGATTTGAGGAAGAGCCTGCGCGTCCCGTGGTACCGTGTTGCAATCGTGACAATACACTTAAACGTCGCTACCTGTGTCTGTGCCGTTTCATATCTACGAATCTTCAGTCCAACCAAGACCTAGAAATAAGTTGCACCCACGGCAACGCATATTTGAGAAGCCTGGAACATTCCTCCTCCAGCCTTGGACAGCCGTCAACGCACAAAGTGTCAAGGTTGGCTTCTCGCTGCGATCCTGTGCCAAAGAACGTAGCGATGCGGTCGGCGGTCGCGGAAGGACCTCTGCCCCAGCGATATGCGGCGCGGTTCACCTTCGTCCCCACATAGTCGCCGACGTGCGAATAGACTTGGTTCAGCGTTCGTCCGGCCGCAGGATCGCTTAACAAGCCACGGATAAGTTGCATCTGCAGCTCGTGAGCCCGTTGGTCCAGGTGAATCAGAGCCATCGAGGTATTAGTCGACATGGTAGCGGGGAACGCGAGAACAGAAACGTTCAAAATTCAGTTCAGCCCGCCATGCAGGCGCACAGCATCCATGTGATCTTGTACAGCATCCAAACGCTGGTCAAGAACCCGTCCCAGAAAGCCTAAATTTAAAATCCTTTACAGCTGTAAAGGAAACCAGAGCCAGCAGAAGTTCGCTGGCAGTTCATTCCGAGCGTCGAGGGTGCCTCTCTAGAGACACGCACAGGTCATTCAAAGCCAGCAGAAGTAAAAAGCAAACTGCCAGTGCAGATGGAAGGAGACCACAAGTCGGACCTCGGCCCGATGATTTATCGCGGAGTTTGAAACTGGGTCTGCCGCCGAAGGAGGTAGTATTGACAAAACACAGAATAAGTAAGAGCATATATCTTCCATAAAAATTGATTAGGGGTTGGACTATGCCTTTGTGTTGCTGGGAAACTTGTTCGCGTTCAGTTACATAGGAAGTATGAGCTTTCGCCTTGTGAACCCTTGCCTTTTTCCATTTTCTGTGTCGGGGGGCGTTTCATGTAATTAGTCCTGGTTCTAGGATCCATGAACGATAATTGCATGTTCGTCCTTGAATTCAAACATCAACTGAACCAAAGTCACGTGGAGGATGTTCAAGTTGAAAACTTCGGAAAAGAACACAA